TCTGTTTAATAGCCGTTTCCTTGTGCTTAAGAAAGGAAGTGACAAACGTGGGTTTTTTTCCAAGAAAAAGCACAACAAAATAGAGGTTAAGAGTTCTGAGCTCCTTCCCATCACCCAAGTTCAGGGACCACGCTGTGGGAAAGCACTCAAGTGGTCCCCACTCCAGCAAACCCAAAGCAGAAGGAAAAGTGGTTCAATCTCTTGGAGCTTCACATGCTCAACACTCACACCAGGGTGCTGACTGGAAAATCTGGAATTTGGCTGAAGCATAACACAACACTTTCCTTGCTGAACAGTGGATTGCAAAGGTGAATTTCACCGCTGCCTCCAGTTGGAGAACAGTAACTGCCATCACAGAGGCTGCATTTTGCACTGCTAGCTTAGGGCAGGAAAAAAACCTTGTATTTACTACAACAGGTGCTAACTTGGTTTTACAGAGCAACTAACTACCAAAGCTCTAATCTACATTAACCCACAGTTTCTTTGCTGTCGTATGTCAGAGCATCTCAACGGTGAAAAAATTCACCCACCAGGTCTGACAAAAATAGCTGCAGCTAATAAATAAGCAAACAATAGGCTAACAAAAAGCTAATAAGCAAACGGTGATTCGATCTTATCATACTGTTTGGACATTACAGTGATTTCTCCAGAACTCGCTTTGCCCCCCTTGCATGGAGAACAGACGAGGATATTTTTAACATTAAAGCACTGGCCTTTCAGAACGCGAGCTCCCCTCCTGCAGCACCATAAAATTGCACAGCATCCCCATTCCGACACGTCCCGGTGTGAACAAGGAGCAACGAGCTCCTGTCTGCAGAAGCACAAACCTGTCGGGAGCTCCAAATCCTGACTGACCAGCAGCAACCCGGACCTGCTTCAAAGCCCCACCGCGCCACACCGGCTCGGTATCGCTCTGAAGGAGCTTTTGAAGCAGACGTGCTATAGAAAGCAAGCAAATATCTGAAAATGCAGTGTAGCGAGAGGGCATTCTCTTCCTTTGAAGGGATAAATTAACAAAAGCACGCTATTCAGCTCTGTTAGGCCAAATGCACTACCACTCCTTCCTCGTCAAGGCTGGGATTAATCTTGGATTTCAAAAGCCTGTAAAATCGTGTAACAATATTAGTCCGGAGGCTCTCGCAGACCATTTGTTCTCAGATACATCAGCACTTTTTCAAATGAATGTGGAAGCGAGACTGGATAATGAGACCAGGGAAGAAGCAAAGGCTCCGGCTGCCCGGCACGGGCTGTGTGCTCATGGCAGCACCGAGCCCACGGAGCCCCAGGCCCATATGGGACAAGCAAAGGCCTGTGGGCAGGGCTGCGTGAACAGGAGATGGGGCAGCCTGCTCAACACTGCCACTGGGACATCCCCTGATCATGATTATTGCTACTGCCTCTATCGCAGCTTGACCCAGAATGCCACAAACACAGCCTTACAGAAGAAAAAAACGCCCATTCTAAGTAGTGAAGGTATGCTTAAGGATGATCTGTTTGTCAAATCTAGAGGATGGAGTCAACAGTACGTAAGTGATGTTTTTAAGAGCATTATCTACAACATATCTCATACCTTTGAGGTCTTTAAGACTGGCTCTCCAGACGTGCAGTATGGAAACGCATTCTAAAAGCATGGAAGAAAAGGTAAGGGGACAAGAGAATTCTATCCCTCCCCCCTTCATGTTAATCTGTTCCCTTAGCCACAGGCTGTGCGCACTCACTGCTAAGAAAAAAACAAGAACAGTACCCTAAAATCACAGAGTACTTAAAACCAGCATTCCATCACACTTCTGCAGGTGATCCACTGCCACTGGTCACAAACAGACAACGGCCACCTGCGTGCTCACAAACCTGAATGCTTTCTGTCCTGCTGACCATAGCGTCTGTACCTGTGCAGCCCCTGCTCTGAACCTCTATGAACTCGGCAAGCAGAAGTTAAGGAAAGGAAACACAGCACCATCACCTAACAACTGATACCCTTTCCGACCCCAAGCCAAGTGTGCAGCAATATTCTGATGCTGTACAACCAGAAAGCAGCTGGAACGGGTTGTTTATCATTAACAGCAGCTGATAATATTCCTGAGCGAGATACGGGTTGTAGGGAGTTTGTCTTGTTTTCCTTTTACAAGCAACTGAAATCCAGAAGCACCAATTACAGACGATACATTTTTGAAAAGGGAAAATGCATCTTTTCTCAAATTCATCCTTACTTTTTGTGAAAAGGAGACAAATCACCTCCATAAAACCCCACTTTGTTGCTGACTGAACTCCATTCTACTCAACCCCACTCACTCCTGAAGCAGATTCATAGAAATGCCCTAAACACTTCAGTTCTATATTTGAGGTGCTGCCACGAGACAGGACAGAGCGTGCTTTAGACTTGGGTATTTTACATCCCTTGGCTACTTTTTCAGACCAGAGAAGAACAGTGAACATGGATCAGACTTCTCCTTTGCTTGGTTTGTCTGAGAAAACATTTTGGTTTCCTATAAACTCACCACAATGATTTTATCTCAACTGTAAATGCAGTACTGGGGATACAGGTTGCTCACCATCCTCTGCCACACAGCAGTGGGTTTATTCATCATGAGGGCTACAAATCAGTTGCTTTACCACAAGGGGATGAAGTTTGGAGGGGAATATCCCAGGACATGACTGAGCATTTTCTTTTTCCTTAAGCTGTTTTTCAATCCCATTATTTCAGCCATGCCTGAGACTTGGAGTAACATCCCACAAAACCAAATGCAACTTCCTTCTCCAAAGCAAGACTTGGCATTTCTTTCCCTTTCCTCTCTCAGACGGATCTGCAACAAACTTTCTATACACAGCAATGACAAAAAACATGGAGGACAGTGGTTTGCTCACCATTATTCCATCAGTTCATTTCAAAAACTCATCAGGATACACAGGTATAGGCAGGCACCACACTTGAAAGCCAGCTGATAAGCCACTCAAAAGGTCGGTGGTATTTGCTTGCCATTACAGATTCACCAAAATACCTTTCTGCTTTTTGTCAGACCCTGCCTCCATGTTTTAAACTTAAATTAAAAATATAAGACGCATGTTTCTGGCTCACGTACAAGCAGCAAGGCTGAGAAGATTTCTTCAGCAAAACCCAAGTTCAGGATCCCAAGTGAAAAGCACCAGGGTGACTGCTGATCAGAGCTGATGCTGCTTCTTGTGTAAGGTCACTTTTTCATTTCCCTCCCCTCAGAAGTCTCTCCTGCCCTTCACCCACCACGCAGCCAGCATGACCTAAGCTTTCAAGCATGAGACAGAAGTTTCTGTGGCTCAAATGCTGCTGAAAGTCATCTATGCCCACTTCACATGAGCACAGCTCTCCATTGATGTCTAGCTGCTTATTTTTCAGTAGGCAGAGAGCTGAACTACTGAAAATACTCAAAATGCAGTACAAAAGGTAAGAATTCTATGAATCCTGAAGAGTTCATAGCCCTTTAAACAACCTCCTAGCATCTGGTGAACACAGAGAACGACGAACTCTAGCATCAGGTTACCCAAGCTGTTTAACCAGCAGCACCCTTTGTCCTGAAATACCTCTAAAGAAAACGTGAAACATTACAAGCAACAACGAAATCAATTCCAAAACAGAGTAGAAGGCTAAAAGTCATCACACAGTTATAATACTGCCCATTGATCTATTTACTGACAGAAGTGAGGAATGTGATTCCTCTCGTGCACTTAAGCAGTCTCAGAAAATTCCATCTAGCACACAGATACAAAACTGGTTGGAAAATCTTTAAGTTGACCTGTGTTATCAAGGAAGAGTTAAAATGAGAATCTCTCTCAGGGTTAGGAAAGTTTAACCTGCCTTACTTGACAGACAAGCTTTGGAGCACATGCAGCGAAAAGAGATTTCTCAGAATGCAAAGCCAAACCTTCATAGCTGGTAACAACGGTCTCCTCTCTTCCCCCAGCACAAAAGCTCACCCTCCTTAAAGGTTTCCTTTCCCAGAAATGCATTTAAGTCCACAGAAATCTAGGTTAGATCGCAGCCCATTTCCCTCCTCCTGATCTACTCAAATTGTTTTGAATATACTTCATTTACATTTTTCCCAACTTGCATTACCAGAAGCTCTTACATCTTCTGCAAGATCTCTTCCTTAATATAAAAGGACCTAAAGGGATTTTGGAAGGCAATCAAGAAGAGAAAGCTGGGGTTTGGGAAAATTTGAGCTCCTACCTGGAAAGTAGATGATGCTTCATATATCAAATCATCCCTAGTATAAACATTTCTATCAGTATGAGCCTGGAAACAAAACACTTTTGGAAAAGAGAAGGCAGAAGTACAAAAGAAAGCAAGAGATTGCTTTTCATAGCATTTCATGTATTTTGGATGCAAACAGTTGCTTTTGTTTTTTGAAGTGCTCTAACTGCAAGCTGTAAGATTTCTCTCCTCTGCCCCGCAAGAAGCAGCCAACCTCCAAGAGCAGCATTGGCAGCTTTGCTTGCTTCACACCAGAAGGACAAGACACAGGAGACAGTGCAGCAGGATCATTAGGACAGGGAAGAAAAGCAAATAGCCAGGAGATCAGCATGATATGCTTTGATCAGCCTGAGTTTCGCTCCGACTTTTTACTCGTTTCAACACAAGGAGGTTTTTCCCCCAAATAGAAACTCAGAAAACCTACTTTGGTTTGCAGCTCTCCTTTTAAGCTGTGAAAACTCTCATAGGGTGCTGCACTGCACTGCTGCTCCCTTCTTTCTAAGGACAGTGAGAAGCTCCATCAGGCCAGCCTCCCCTTAGCTCCCTGCCGAGGGTTGGGGCAGTTATTTAAGCCTCCACAACTGCTGTGCTCTGTTCTCCCCCTCCACTCCCAAACCCCACTTGCCCAGCCTGGGAAAGTAGATGTGTGCAAGTTCTGACACACTTTGTTCCAGCGTACTGCATTTGCATTCTGCTCATCCACTTGCAAGACAGATCTGCATAACATTTTACTGCATTCCCAGAATAGGAGCAACATTTAATAAAAGTTTCTTCTTACCAGAGCTGGGCATGTGGTTCACTCTAGGTGGATTCAACAGCTCTACTGGCTGGTCTCTGCCAGAAAGCCCATCTGGAAAGAGAAAAAACATCACAACAACTCTTTGGTTAGCTGAGCTATTTTAGACATTCCAAGCAGAAAAATAATAATAATAATAAATCACTAACCAATCAGCAGTGAGAATCAGAAACACACAAGTAACACAAATCAATAGAAACAAGAACGTTAACAGCACAGCAGCTGCCTAACAACTGCTTATGCTACAGCAGAAAATAAAAGACTCCCAAACCACGCTCAGGTTTTCCTGGTCTTTAAATCCAACTGGTGCTGCTCCCAGCTCACAAAAACAGGCATAAACCTCACCATACAGTTCCTAACAAGCTGTTCCTTCCTTCTTCAGGAGGACCGAGCAGAGTTCAGACAGAAACACATCCCTGGTGAAGCGAAGTTGAGGAATGGTTATAAAATGCCAGGGAGATGCTAAGGAAAACTGGCAAATCACTGCCGGAGATTAAAATGTGCAGACATACATAACAAGTCCCATTTTGCATAAGTTTGGATTTCAGAAAGGCATTAAAAACATACTTTGTAAATGATATGCAGAAATCCATCGTGCTGAAGCAGTTCTCTGTTTAAAATATTTCAAAGATTACATCTCGCATTCAAGTAGAGCTAAAACAGAAAAACATGATCCCTACTGCTGTAGACTGCCAGACCAGATTTTCTAGTCATCCACTCCCCTCCACTCTGCCCCCCCAATAGGAGCTGAAGCATAAAAATGCTAAATTCAAGTAAGTGATGCTTCACTACAGTACGTTTCCAGTACTTCGGTTATGAATACTCCATCTCAGATTGGTTTGTTCCACTGTAAATACCCACACCTTTGGCAGTTGTGTCTCACTTGATCTCCTCTACCGTGTTACCGTGCTGCAGCACAGATACCATCAAGCCAAACCCCGTCTGGAGACATCAAAGAAGCCACCCCATCTCTCAGTCAAAGCCAAGCTCACTGCTATAAAATGTTACGCTGTTGGTGGAATGTTAAAAAAGAAAACTACACAAATCACACTTTGTTTTCTTCTCCCTGTTTGCACCGTTTTGGGCTCCTGGACAGAAAGAGTGGTTGGGTCTTCTCCATCACTTACATGGCTTTGCCTCCACTGCCAACACCCAAGCATCAGTGCTGCCCCAGGCAACAAGTAAATGAACCAAACTACAGCCACGCTGAGCTTTCCTTCCCAAGCAAGTAATTACTGTCCTGCAGATAAAACAGGTTGTTCCCATCACAAGCTATTTGCTTCTGGATTGTTACCATGAGACCAACAGCACAGCTGGGGCGGACAGCTTTGTGTCCACAAGCAGTGGGACGTGCACTGAGCAGACTCAAGTGACAACTGAGTCTTTATTTCAGTCTGTGGACTCGCTCCCACACTGCTGTGTGTGCTGAGTGTCACCAGAGCACCACCAACACGTGTGTTGGCAAGCAGGGATTTAAGAGCTGTGTCTGCTTTTAATTCTAAGAATCGAAGTATCTACATTTTCAACCAAATGAAGAACCCAAACCAACAGTCTCTGCTGCAACATGAATGATAATCACAGAAAAACACGGATGTTTTTTAAAGCACTGCAGTCTAAATAATTGAATCAGGCAAGACAGAGGTTCTGTACTCCCTGCACTCACTGACAAAGAAAGGCTCCACTTGTAAGAAGGAAACATTTACACCAAGCACCTCTTCTACCGGTAACGATAAAAGAGGTCCAAGCAGGGTTTGAACACGCACACTCATTGAGGGGTGAGCTAGCTCACAGATAGAGCATGCACCTGGCCACCCTGACACAAGAAATAATGCACTAGCAGCTCAGCTTCCTACAGCCACCCAGGGATCCTACAAGAAGCAAAGGATCCATTTCAAGAGAATGGGTTTGTTCAGAAAGTCAGAACAGCGCTGCATTTAATGAAGCATTCGATCTGCTGTTACTGCTATGCTGCTTTCTTCTTACCAACCGTTACCGAAGCCTCTCTCCTAAATCAGCTGCTACATAACTGACTTCGGCGTAACAAGAAACGCATGATGTTTTATACCAATACTTATGAGGAAGCAATAAGATAAAGACTGGCCTGGGTCTGCAAATGCCAAAATGAATACCATCGGTTTCTGTCACAAAAATAAAAGCTTTTCCCCCACTCCCCCCTTTCCAAAGAATTCAGCTCCAACCCTCTAGAAGCTTCACCCTGCATTTCTAGAGACAGCTTTGGCAATTACAGAACTAAAAAAAAAACAACAGACAGAAGATGCTAAAAATATCTGTGCCACACACACAGATCTCCAGTTTTGTCCTTGCTATTGCCTGGAGGGGATCACAGGGTGCTTCTGCAATGCTGAAAACCTGGGCAGGGATGGGAAGCAGCTTGTCTCACTGCTGCAGAAGGGCAGCAAAGAACACGCACAGAGGGCAAGCTGTGCAATCGCTGCTCAGCACTTCCACCAGCCACAATCTAGCAGCTACACACAGCAGCACAAAGCAGATTACCTACGAAATACTTTCAGCTCTCTACTAGACGAGTGTTTCCTGAGATACTAAAATGAGATGCCGAGAAAACACAGTCTTGAATGGGCTGTAGATGACTCCACCTAACAGGCAGCACACCCAGGCAGAGCGAGTTGTCCCAGCCAAGTGGGAGCCCTGCACCCTGCACACAGACCCCAGGCTGGCTGCACGCAGGAGATGCCAGAAGCGATGCTGCAGACCGTCCAGCCCAAAGCCAGGCAACAAGGAGATGTGCTGCAGCATCCAGCAGGTCTGCGAGGAGGCACACGTCTCACTGATGGCTCAGGTTAGATGAGATTTAGCACAGCTTCATTTTCAAAGGGGTAATTCTACTCACTAATTAATGAGATGAAGCTATTACTCATTGACGGGGACTTGAACATTTCATTTTTATCACAGTCCGTCCTGAAGCGTTCCACAGAGTTACTTCAAAATATATCCAGGTCACTTTCTGAAGTAGCTGGGCTTGCAGGATTTAACCTCATTGAAAAGAGCAAAACAAAGACAAGATGGCTACAGTACACACAGAATAACAGGGAGAAACCTGCACAGATAAAAGCCTCCAGAAAAGATGAAGAAGCCAAATGAACCAGAACAACATCCAAGGTGAAACCAGATTAGACAAGGAAGCGCAGCTTTATTCCTTCTTCCCACTAAAAAAAGGGCAGATGATGAACGAAACAGAAGGCTGGAGCACTCAGTTCACTTCCACCAGAAAAGTGTATGCAGCCTTCCTATAATTAACTCTGATGAGTTAAAAAATGCGGGGCAGAACTGGAAAAGGTTATTTAAATAGCTTTTCATGTATTCAGATCTTTAGGCCTGATGCAAATCAGCCTGCTCTACTTGAACTCCCCACGCTAAGTGATGAACAACCAACAGTTGTCTTTAAAGACCTCCCTGAGAACAGGGAAAGTCCTAAAGAGACACAAAGGCAATTTCTGAGGGAAGGTGGGAAACAATTACAGTAAACAGGAGTTATTTCTGTCTTCCAGAAAGAAAGGACGTGGCAGCACAGAGATTAGTGCCGCCAATGGATGGAGCTGAAGGCAATTACTCAGTGTTGTCAGTGTGTCAGCCCAGTAAAGTGGTGGTTTTTAAAAGATGTTACTTATTATTTTGGGGGATTTTACCCAAGATTTATAAAAAAAAACTTTGAAAGGTTTCAATGGGCACGTTATTAAGAAAGTCAGGTCTGCATGAATCACCCTAAAGCAAGCACAAATCTACTTAAAAAGCCCATTCAGTCCTCATCTGCTTTTAGATGGATTATACCCAGCATGGTGTGGTAGTTCACAATTTAATGATAATGCATTAAAGTTGTATTTAGATCTCAGACCTGACATCACACCACAGAGGTCACACTTGGGAGCACGGCGAGAAGAATTCAATGACAAGTTGGCGAACGGCTGCAAGGTTCAATCAGAAATGGGAAGATCCCTCCCCCCTAAATAACAACAATGGTTAAACGCACAATTAGAGGATGAGCAATGCCCGGCCGAGCAACAACACAACAAAAAAGAAGCACTTTGCAAACTGAGAATCCACCGTTTGGCAGCGATGCAGAAGACACAGGTTCATTCCAGGATGCATTAGCAGGCACATATGCAAGACACGGGAGGTAATTACTCAGAGACGTGACAGCCTGCTCGGCAAAAGCGCTGCCCTTGGTTTTAGAAGATGAATTGCAGGCAATCAAGGAGAAACCTCTGAGAAAACACTTGAGAAAAGTTGGCATCTAAGAGAACATCCCAACCACATCCTTTCAAGAGCGTGCATCCACATTTAAAATTCAGCTTCTGCTACGGTCTCTACAGAGAGAAGGGATGTTTCTGGATCAATGACTCCTAAGTTTATATTTGTCATTGAGCAAATAACTACCTTGCTCTTTTTACTGCTTTCTAGCAAAAGCAGTTGTGAGCCTGTCTCACAAAGGAGAAGAAGAGACCCATTCTCCTTCTCCCCAATCCCACAAAGATCCTGCTTTAAGGTACGACCAGCACACGCTTAACACAGCAACACACAGAAACGCTTGAAGGCAGATGACCAGCCTTACTGAAGATGGAGACCAACTTTGTACATGACAGCAATAGGACAAGGGGGACCATTTTAAACCAAAAACCACAGGTTTATGTTAAATGTTAGGAAGAAATTCTTCACTCAGAGGGCAGTGAGGCGCTGGCACTGCTGCCCAGAGCTGTGAGTGCCCCATCCCTGGAGGTGCTCAAGGCCAGGCTGGATGGGGCCCTGAGCAGCCTGGTCTGTGAGGACAACAGCAGGAGCTGAGATTGGGTGAGCTCTAAGGCCTCTTCCAACCCAACCGTTTTATGATTCTTTGATAAGAGCTCACTTTGATAAGACCAGCACCACATCCACAACCTGTAAGAAGAGAAGCAGGGCAGTGGCAGATCCCCCTCCATCTGCACGCCACCCTGCAACTGCAGAGGGCTTACAGCCAGCCCCAGGCCGCGCTCCAGGCCGTGCTTCTCCTCTTTGCACGTCTTCAGTCCCAGCACGGAGCA